ACAGTGTAAAACTAAAAAAAGAAAAATAAGAATCGGCAGGCCCAAGAAATTCTGGCCGAGGATCTGAAGGGGTGCGCTCCTCTTTTACACTGCGATACGTTTGAGAAAGTGCGTGTGGCTGTACGCGCATTTGCGCGTTCGCAGTTCAGTGTGTCAATGGAGCCTTGATTCCGACAAAACCTAAAGCTCTTAGGTCTGGAGCTCTGAAAGACCGAGGTGGGCCTTCGCAATTACAGGATAGCCTCGAAAAGTCACGGAAAAAGAAGAAGACTGAAGAAACGAACTCTTTAAGACCCAATCCTCTCACTTCTATTAAATGGATTAGGACTAGCCGATGAGGTTCGAGTGAGAGCGAACAGTGCTGTGTGGTACGCCTCTGTCGCCATCACCATTACCACAAGCAATACCGCTAACACAAAGAGTAGCAGCAGGGACAACAGGCCTGCTAAAGTTCTGTTTTAACCTTAATTAGGATTTGGTATTGAGATAAATCCTACGAAGTAACGACAGCAACGGTTTTACCGGGAAGCTGCTCCTTCTTCCATTCCACTCTCTTGTCTTATCGCTTTTAGTAGGTCCTATGGGAACCCTGCAGGAACAGGATATACTAGAACAAGGTAAATCAGGCCGCCTCATAGTTCACACAAGCAGATTTTCATGTTTCAACCCACAACCTTTTCGTCTCACGTAAGAGGACACTGAATAGTCCTTTAGTAGAATAGAAATCTATACGAATATCGATCGAAATAGTATTTGCATTTGTCGTAGGGATACGGCAGACTCATTCTATTCTCCTAACTTCGACGGCAGACGTATTGGCGCTCAATATAAAACGCATGTAAGATAAAGGGACGCACACAAGGCTGTAAGCGGACGCACACAAGCGGAAAGCAAGGAAGAGTAATTCTCTATGACTGACAAGAACTCTTTTGATTGGCAAGCCTGGCCAACGGGCACCGACGAAATAAATAAGATCATTCAAAATAATAGAGTACACACAACTTTTCCGCAAGATGACGCACAGTAACATCAGGTCGATAGGGGCTCTGCTCAGCATTTAGGTGGTTTTACATCGACACCCTCCGTCTCTCATGCCACATGATTTATTCAACAGAGGGAACGGCTTAGATAACTACGACCGACTACATAGATGGATAAAATAATTATGGTACAACAGCCACGTTCGTTCTACTTTTTCCGTTCGCACACCACACGCTCATATATCAGAGGAAAACTATAAACCCCAACGATATGGGAACTGCAGCGTCGATGCGCAGAGAGCGTTAGAAGAACAGGGGAGAAAGGAGCAGTCAAGCAATAAAACTGTACGGCATACATTTTTACTCAGTGAAGTCTGTGAAGGTCTTCTCTCAAGCACTACAGGAGAAGTACCTTTGTAGTTAGTTCATAGTAGGTAAATAGGAAAATAAATAGTAACCTAACAATAAAAAAACAGAGTGACGTAACATAATCTCGGTGAGAACGTTTGATTACAGCCAACACAGCGAAAATTCAGGCTCGTTTATCAAGCGCAATACTAGTTACAAATATGTATGTATACGTGCGATGCAACATCAGTATCGTCATCAGACGTTGCTGATTTACAAAAAGCGACGTTGTAGATTAGAATGTGATAGGATAGAAAGGAGAGAAAAGTAGAACGGGAAGTAGGACGACATATAGGGAAAAGGGTCCGGCATGCGAATAGGACATAACAGAGCAACGAGAGTGCGGGACAGAATCGTGAGAGCTGCGTTGTCGATTTCATGCGAACCGTTTGTGAGTTTACGACTGAACGGGAACAGGGCCGCCGTAGCACGATTCTGCTTCTAATGTAACTTGGCAATTTGCAACCTTTAGACACGCTGTTTAAGAACTGGCGACGTACTGGCAAGCGCTACTAAAAGGGCTAGCTGGTGTTCAATTAGTGGCGTTCACGTACTGGTCAAAGCGGCTGCGATAGCACGCAGCTCAAAAATCAGCGTTTTTTTTTTTAACAAACAGCTGTATATACGTAGAAGTCTTGTTGTCGTTGTCGCAATGTGCCGGTTCCGTTGCTGTTACATTTGTTGTGCCCAACGTCAACATCATCTTCAAACTGCTTCCAGTGGAGGGGCTCGATAAGATGGAGAGAAGCAAGTAAAGTGGGAGAAGCAAGGAATTGGGTATAGAGAAACTCCAATAGTTCTAAAAATGCACACTCGAAGGCTTTCGTCAATGTAAGAGTTTGATGCATGCGCTCCGAATCGAATGGAACAGAACGGACGTTGTCTAGGCCGACTCGCTATCGCCATCTGCGTCGTTCGTTGGGCTAGGACTTTGGGCGGACCATGGAAAGAGCCAACAAATCTCCTAACAGTGTCTCTGCTGAAGGCCAGCGAGCAACGCTAAAGACGTTATACGGGAGGCTTGCTGCAGTACGCAGTTGCTAGTAAAAAAACACGGAAGAAAAGTGCTACGTTCAGTTTCGACGCTGACGATAGAATGACGCTCGGTCGTAACTGGGGACGAGAAGGGGTGAAAGAGTTTATTATTTCATGCAGTTTAAGGGCTTCTAAAACTTCCATAAATCACCCGTGGGAAGGATATTCGTTTCGTCTCGATCCGCCGCATCTAGCCCTGCCTAACCAAGTTACAACGACTGTTAGAGCTCAGTTGCCGGTACTGCATCTATCTAGATACACGGATCCGCGCAAAGTACCTAGATCTGCACCTTGTTGAAGAGTAGTCGTCTCTGGCCTTCTACCGCTGACTAACCGGCTTATGCTCTCTGTGCCCGATTGACACAATAAACTGAAGAAGAAGAGGTATATGGGCTTCTCCCCGAGGATCAGATTTTTCGTGAACAGAAATAGAGACAAGGATAGCTGCCTTGTTCTTTCGATGAATTCAAGGACTATGGAAATAATACGACTTTCTTTTATTGGTTACGAAGCAATTAATCTTGAGACGAAAAGGACCAACTATATATATTTATCATATCACCAACGCCATATATTGAGCATGCACCCCTATTTCAGTTATTCTAAAACAGCAAATTTACACTACGGTAGACAACTACTAACAACACAAACCACCACAATAGGCCACTTTGAGATGTATAAATCTAATAGCAAAGCTGGCTTTTCTTTTTGGAGAAATTAAATTTGCAATAATGCGAATCTCGTAATTCTAATAATAGTTAGGTGGGCAGAAAACATTCTGCCATTTACATCGTACATATGCGTCCTATCAGTATAGTTACGTGCGAACGATGAAATATTGAACGTCACAGAAAAGAGAAGTTAGTGTGCAATGGCCTTAAACGGCTTGCGGATAGCCTCGGGTTATTCTGGCGTAGCCGTCGGCCGGTTGGTCCGCTGGCCATGTCTTTATGTGGGCTGTTCCAACGGCAGAAGCAATGGCTGCTCCAACGAATGACGTACAGTATAGCTAGAAAGGCCATGTGATTGTAGTCAGTGCCAGCTTGCCATGGGTATGAAAAGCGAGACCAAAAAAACGGCAGAGTTTGTCTGGCACGACTGAGTGAGCTGGTGGTTGGTGGTCGGAACTGATAGAATATTCGAGGTTTTCCAAGCCCCTCTCTTCGCTTCCTTTCTCTCTTTTTTTCTCTCCCCTAGTCTTTTTTCCACTTCCTACCGAGCCTTTCCAGGGCTGCCGCCAGTCGCTTCCTCGCCCGAGTTCCAGAGCCACAGTTCTGCCCGCAGTTCTTTAGCCGTTTATCCCTATTTGATGTAACTATATCGAGAACTCTCTGATAGAATTATATCGTGTGCTTTGCATGCGGGACGACGTCGAGACAAGTGAGGTGACGGTGAGTGGTGAACTGGCGGTGACTGAACGAGATGGTCAGACGGCACAACTCCTGCTACTGAGAAAGGCTCGGAGAAACAGGGCGTCAGAATTACGTAATTCCCGTAAACCGGAGTAAAGCGGAACGCTTCATCGTCGAGAATATAGAAGACGCAAAACGCATACAAGCGGATGGCGAAAACTAACACAACGGTTAGGCAAGAGGGCAGCAGCTGCAAGGGATCCTCAGTCCTCAAGGAGACAAAGATGCTCATGAGCACACTCGGCTTCCTAGGGTCAGGACAAGCCATTAGCGGCCGGACAATTCACTTACCGAGCATGTGGGCGTGTGCATGCATGTGAGCTGCTGTCTGTTTCCCTCAGTACAGTAGGATAGAGCAACCCCGATATTCCGTTGTGTTGTTCGAGTAATAGGACGTTGCGTTGTTTTAACCATCTCACCGGATTAGGCCGAAAAATACATTCACGATGGTCTAATGGATAGCTGTATTGTACTTGGGATGTTGCCGCACCCCTTACCATGTTGGTCTTGCAGCATTACCAATATCACAATGGTACGTACGCGTGCTTTAATTTCAAGGATGGGCTAGAGCGGTTCGGAGCGCAAGCAGATGGAAGATAGTAAATGAAGACCCTGGAGAGGGGATCGGCAGCGCATGTCGCCTCTTTACCGTTTGGTCTGTGACTTATCGGTGTTGCTGTTGTGAGAAACTTACAGAAACAAGGCCACTCGTTTTGTGCGGAAAAAAGACGGGCATTATCATAACAACCGGATGACAAACAACAAAGAAATGGTTGCGGTTCTAACGTAAAAAGGTACTAACAAACATAAAACGTAATTCATGTAGCTAATAAACAGGGTATGATTTTATCTCCACATTACCGTAATTGTATGCACGTTTGAGTATGGATAAAGGTAAGTCCTTAAATACAGTATAAATGCAATCCGGATCCAGAGCCAATCTCGTGCTATTAGTGTTATTTAGTGAGATGTTCAAAGATAGTTCACATATTATTTATTTCCGTGCATCAATAAATATTGTTACGCAACGAGTTAAATGTTGGATACGGGGTGAGTTGTCTTAGATTGCCCGTTCTCGTCTTCGCCACCTTTACATAAAACATCGCACTTACCGAACATTGCTAATGTACCTACAACGATAAGTTATTAAGTTACGTCAGCTTACCTTCCAAGCGCTGCGGCTGTATCTGGCGTTTTCCCTCGCTTATCCTGCAGAACGCTATTATGATGAGGGCTGCCTCGACGACAGCTCCAGAGAAGTAAAACGACAACGGACAAAACGACAAGCGACACCGTTATGATGCCAAGGATAAGCCCAATCAAGCCAGCGTTGCCTAATATGAAAAAAGATGCATCAACATTATGCTGTAACAACTCGTATATATAATAATACTAGTAAATCTAACCAATGCTCAGATACTCGTCATTCGACCATATCAGCAAATAAATATTGTCTCCGTAAAAAATAGTCCGGCAAAGTCAGCGCTGCATCGTGCACGTAAGTGGAAATAAATAAAAACACTAAAAAGGAGATGTTGTAGAAATATTTTTTTGTGACAGCTTTTCGTTCTTTCCAAAAATATATTTTCATGACAAGCAAACCGCTTAATGAATTATATGTATATATATAATTTATTTAAACGGCCAGTTCTAACTTGGGTGGTTGGCTTGATGTTTCTATTTTCAATTTCATACCATATTTACATAAAATAAGTGTATCTAGCTACTTCTAAAGTGTTAAATAGGTAAGCGGTTGTTGAACGCCAGAGGCGTCGTGTAGACTATATCGCAGTCTCTCAGGAGTACATACAATGGATGTGATCCTGTTGTAAACTACAACGCTGTGTTCAGGGCTTACTTCAAGCGTTGCCTCACTTGAAGTGAGCGCGATCCGCCATGAAACAAGAACGTTTTAGGCCCTGGGGCGTATCTGCATGCTCTCCCTTTCTATTTTGCGTTCGCTTTCCATTATGAAATTTTACTAATTTATGAGCAGATAGGCTGCAATGAAGCGCCAGGTGAAATAAAAACAAGCCAAACAGGATTACACCTCACCGACACTTCTGGAGTAAACACGTGTATGTCGTTAAGTCCTATCTCTAGAAAGGAAAATGCGAAACGAGGTCGCAAATAGAATTCAACTTAATAGTAGAGTGCACTCTATAAAATCATGGGCAGACGACGCTAATTTTTAGACTATAAGCGTAATTAAAAATAAAGTAGTTCCTAGTTGCTAAATGAATAAAAAGTCGCAGACTACATAAGTTACTAAGCATTTGACAACTTTATACATGTCTGCTCTAAAAGTAGCCGTGGAGAATCTTACGCTTTCCGACTTTTTTCTAGACCGGCGAGAAACTACGGAAGACATTTATCCAGGCTGTGTCCTTTACGATAAAGACTTAGGTATCGCCAGTACGGCTAATATCGTATAGAGATGAAGTGTCAGCGTGTGAACAAAAATTTAAAGCAAAATACGTATTCCTCTAATGAAAACATTTAAGATTGTGTTAAAACATCAAAAGCACAGCACTCGGAAAGAATGGCTTTCTTTAGCTTCCAAATATACAAATCGAGGACAAGACACAGCGGGGGCAAAAGAACATCGTAGCTTTAATAAGCCTCAATTCGCTTGGAGCGCCCCAAAAAGCGCAGAGTCTCACTGGTTACCCTTCAAATTCTCGTTTTGCTAATGGGATTTTATTGCATCAGATTGGACGACGGCAGCCGACGAAAGCGTACGTGTCGTGCGTGCGCTCTAGACGGAAAACCTGGAAGTTTTCCAGAACGAAGCACTGCTTGTCGCTTTAACGACCAAGCTTGGCAACCAAGAGATTCGTTTGTGGATGTTTGCGCGGGTTTAACACTGCAATGGAATCTATGTAGTAAGTGAATTTCCCGATATAACGTACGAATCTATAAGCTTGTGACACACTAGCGCCGGACCTGGTTGACATATTACTGGCTGACAGTGAGAAGGATATGTACAGTGAAAACACTTTAATGTATTCGGATATATTTAGAATGTATATACTACACTTTTAATAATTGGATTTAATTTGATCTACAGCCTTTTTGTGCCGATGGCCGATTTATATATGAGTATATACAGATAGCCAGTTCTATGTTTATCAACTATATTGGAAGCGAACGCCGCGCGTAATCCTGCGCACGAAAAGAGTAATAATGCTTGTTTCGTACTACGGGTGTCGCAGCTTTGTTAGAAATTCTTCATAGATTTTGGATTCGAAACATTATTGTACTTAGAAATAGGATGCGTTTCACGTATTTAATATTTGCAATTCACGTGTACGTACTGAATTTTTAGATTTTTTTATTACGGAGATAGGTAACAGGCTTGTTTGTGAACATTATGCAGCGTAAATAAGGCTGCAGCTATTCGATACACAAAATAAAAATAGAATCGATGCATCTATAGGGTGGCTATAAAGATGACGGCATATCCGGGACTTGAGCCCTTTGAATAATAGTAATGAAAGGTTCGTGGAGCAATTTGATTTGGATAAGCACCCCCTATAAAAGATGAATTGTCTAACGCGTATACAAAGTGTTTTACTTCGGCAAACGTTATCGTGCACTTACTTGAATAGTAGCCATGACCGTCGGGAAGAGTTCTGACACTTCCTTTCGTTGTAGTTGAGGCCATGTGAGTTTCGTGGGCGTCTCCAATGGATGCCACTTGTACCGTGAAGTTCAGCTGGCTTCCGCCAGCCGAGTTCGTAGCCCGACAAGTGTAAGTTCCACCGTTAAGAGTGCTAACGTCACTCAAATACAGCTGTGCAATAGAAAAGGGTGCAGCATAAGTAGTTCTATCGAAATAAATGGATACATTGTATTGAACAGGTCCTGCGTAATATCATATGTGTTTCAACTGACCGTTAGAATAAGTGCAGATACTATATTTGGGATCAAAGCATCGTTCAAGAAGGACAGTCTGTTCAATCGAGCTAAATACGTTTGACAGCTCTATACCAATCAATTAGCTGATAACCATCAACGTACACTCACACCAGTCATGAGGAGGCTAGGGGAAAAACAAAGCAGACGTATTATTGGCTAAGGTGGCGAAATGCGCAGCCATATCGTTGTCGCTAGAGAACTTTGAGCGTAATTAGGAACAATAATAACATTTAGACAAAATAATTTAGGTAAAAATATTATTGCAATTAGGAACGTACGCATACCTGCGATGCCGCGAGGGAATCGTTAATAGACATTACTTTGCCTTCCTGCGCTGTATCCCCTACGAACCATTGTAAATGCGGTGCAGGCATTCCCCATGCTTCGCAGTACAAGGTCAGGTTGCTTCCCGTGTGTACCTGTTAGGCCACGTTAGCAAGGTCAGTTTAGTGAAAAAATATTCTGACTACTCATTGAAACGTAAGCTGGCTCCAGTGAAACGAGGCACGTCGGCCGCCGAATAGAATGAACAATATAGACTTTTGTTAGAGGTACTGACTCTAAAGGCGGTATAATATTTGGACAGCATGTTGCAGTGAGAAGCGCGCAGCTTAGTCGGATAAATAAGAGACGCGCTAAAAATCCTAAGCCATCGTGTAGGTTTTCAACAATGGCTGGCGTCAGATGACGGGTCGCTGTGGCAAATCCCCTATGACCTCTACTTCACTAAACGAACACGGCGAGTGCTCGTCGTATTCATATGTTGAAACACAAATGGGTGGAGTTCGCATCATTCTCTGAGCACAAACCTTATGATAAGAAGTTTTCCACGTATTTCCTCCAATTTGGCAATGGTTCTCACGTACGATTCCAACTTGCGTATAATAAACCATAGCCTACCTAATTCGTACGCCGTATAGTACAATTTATTGTGATATCGAACTTCGATTTACAGTTCAAACGAAAACGGCACTAATCAGTTCCTATATATATGTGAACATGCTCAAGCACTTGTTCCACAAAATTGCGGTATATTATCGATGCGTAAATCAAACGTTTCGTATATCGCGCAAAAGGCGTACCGCGAAACCGGTAATTAGAGGAAGCAGCGTCAAACTCTGCAAACGAAGCAGCCTTAAGTTCAGTATCAGGAGCAGCGTTTTCAAAATGATGACGAAGGCTAGAATGCGCCATCATAGCTTAATAACGCCCCGTTGGTATCGTGCGCCAACACCCGTCGCTGCGTTTGCTAAAGCTCTGGCGTAGTCAACCCAGCATAAACAGTACCAGCAGCGACATCGATAGAGTCGAATATCAGCGCGAGAGAAAACAAAAGACAGTGGGGGAAAGAATGTCCACGTTTCCTCCTTTTTTCTTCACTATTCGACCAGGGGAACGACAACTTATCTAATTTTGTCCGAATATTGCCTTCGTTGATTCGGCAGCTGTGCGCGACTAGCGTACACTACTGTATGTTGCAGCCTGCCTTCCTGCGTAGCTGATTATGTTTTACGAACCTTATAGTCCTGAGCGTTGAGCGTAAAATTGGGCGGGCACGAAAAAACAGCGTCGGGCGTTTTCTCCCACGAGAGGCCTCTGATCGTTTCGGGCTGGTGGCAAGTTGGAGAGTACGAAGTCGGATGGTGTTGCGATAGCCTGAAACACCATGACAGAGTAAGTACAGAGAGAATACAGTAAGAAAGATATCGATGCATTAGGTCACCGTCAAACGCATAATGTTTACGCATTGTTTCTGGCTTCACCGCACGGAAACGTTCTATGTCCGCCAGACATGATAACAGGTGTTGCTGTTACAGGTCACTCTCATTTGGAAGGCTGAAAAAGGTACTATACCGTGAAGGTATCTACTGTGAACACGGATTTCTGCCGGCATTTGCACAATAAGTTTAAATAATCATCATCGAATGTCAATAATAAAGTGCACTACGAACATGCTCATGTGAAGGCGAAAGCTTCCAAACCCAAATAGGTGCTTTTGAAGGTAAAAAATTAGATACTGTGCTGGCTTTACACGTATGCGGGTCGTCACATGCACTCAAGTTGTGCTGAATGATTCTTTTCTCGAGTAAGCACACATGGTCACACATTTCTCCTATACAATTAAATTACTATAATACTATAATGTTTACATGAGTAATTCATAGGGTAACTTTAGAAGTGATAGCTGCAGAAAGGAGCTTTATCTTCTCCGTAGATTCTACCAATAAGTTCTGTGGAGCTGCTGTGGAGTACACTAGATTTAACTAAACCTAGCAGGTGTAACGTCCATCAACCCTTTTATCATCATGTTCTTCCTATTATATGTAAATAATACGCCAGCATTGAGTCAAATACGTAACACATACCCATGACTATTCTAATGTACAGTCCGTCAGTGCACTTCCTGTTCGATTTTGAGAATCTACCTTTGGCAGTTGCAACTTCTCCCACCCGTTAACTGAATAAACCCTATTCTATGAACTCTACGTGATGAATCTTCCGAGCTTAATAGAATTATAGATTAACCTGTTTCGAAGGTCAGCGATCTCTATCTCGCTATCGTATTTAGGCAAAAAATACAGACGTTGGTGCTTGGATTCGTTCGGTACACAGTTTATAAAGCTAGTTCTTGCGAGATGTTTATATGCTTTGTCGAAGCCGAAATTCTGCTGTTTATCATTGCTGAAGTGAAGGTCTAACTTTAATAGGTGCCTTTTACTTTGGCACTGATCGTTCGTCTGCGTTTCATGCTTTCCTCAAATAAGAACAACAACAATAACAACTGACCTTTACCCACTCTATATAAACGGAGTAAGCTGTTCGTTCCAAAGAAGTTAGTAAGTTAATTGCTTTCTTCACACCAGATCAAAGTGGTTCATAATAATAACAACTCGTTGTGTAAATGAATTTTACGGCCAGCCGTTCATAGGAACTCGAATGCTCTTATACAAACGCTACTGTCCGACAACTAACCAGACGTCTATTCCTGCAGGCAGTGCCACTCAGACCTGCTTCTAGCGCGTGTAAACGGCCAGCGCGTTGCACACAAATCTCTAGTTATTCACGATGCGTTCAATTACAATAAAACGGGACATATTAATTTTGGGTATATCCATACTAAAGGCCGATAAGCTATAGCTCGTACGTGGTAATGACTAAATAGAGGTTTCTTTTGCTCTGCTGCATTTTTAAGTGTCGACCTTACCAGTCCCGGAAGGGTCGTAGTCGACAATCGCAGTTCCAGGCGTTGCCGTCAAGGGAGATGCCATGCAACTTAGAAAGCGGTGCCATCGTGTGGGCGGATATAAAGCTGATGAGGTTGTCGTCAAGTTTAAGCACCTGTAGGCTTCCCAGCTGCGCAAAGGCGTCCCGGGCGACCGTCTCAATCTTGCATGAACTCAATTCGAGGACGCTAAGGCTCCGTAAGTGAGCAAACGATGCGTCTGCTAATACCGTAATTGGGTTGCCTAGGAATGTTTTTAAAGGGAAAAATGAATTATAAAAAGTATTTATTACGATGACAAGGTCTAGCATACACAACAGCGGTAGGCCGTAGGTCATGTCTCGAAACGAATTCGGCTTGTTAGGTTAGTTTAAGATATAACGGTATGGCGTCATCTAGTGCCGGAATAGTCATAAGTAGTACCTTTTAGTAAAAGGTGTCGGAGGCTGACAAGGTGTTTAAAGGCATTTGTTGGCACTGCACCGAGTTTATTGTTGCTAAGGTCTAGCTCAACAAGGTTATTCATTTTATAGAATGCGTGCTCCTGCAGCTCGCGCAGCTGGTTCTGGCTAAGATAGAGCTTTTGTAGGTTGACGAGGCCCGCGTTCGCGACCTGGTTGTTCTGCAGCGCCTTCAGATTGTTCCATGACATGTTTAGCACCTGAACGCCTGCAGCAAAAATGAAGAAGTCAAGCGTCAACAAATAACAAACAGAAAAAGTAAGCGCAAGGAGGAAAATTTTTGATGCATTTTATCAAGTCAAGGTAAAAGTATTATTACCGCTAAACTGTTGCGAAAATAAAATAGCAGATCACGTTGATTATAATTACGAATACAATAGCAGTATAGTATGAAGACAGACAGCAACGAAGAAGGTGTTTGCGGGACGTTACCTGATAACAACCTTGGCCAGCTTTTACGTCTCGATTCACCTATATGTTTCGAGTTTTTCGTCTGATTGTATCTTAGTTAAGCATTGGTTCAGACGGCTCACTTTTTCCAGTACGAAAGCAAGTATATCTATGGCCGGTTTTGGATCTGAAAGTCCTCAATTGGCTAACGCTTTACCACTGCACTCCCATTCGCTTACCTTCATCTAACTCTGTCGGTAGGGCTGCAAGACCTAGTTCCGTACAGGTGGCAGACATTTTTCCATTCCGCCAAATACAGTGGCAGCTTTGATGGCAGCTAAATGAGGCAGCAGCCCGGCTAACAGTTGTCGTTATGAATACAAACAGCAGAAGTAGCAAACGGCAGATCGGTGGCAGGTGTAGATGCAGCTGCTGTAGTTGGTATGGGCGGCACAGCTGCACGGAGAGCAGCTTGCCCCGAGCCACCGGAAGCCGCATCACGCTACGCGGCCACAACAACACCGACACCTGCAGAACAAACGGGTGTGTAATCGGACAAGGAAGCAGTCAGAAATGAAACGCGCAGATGGATTTGGGGTCTGACCTATTTATTATATGTGTCAGTAATCTACAGTGGCACAGATTATACTATATGTAGTTCATCTAACTGGATGATATAAGCGATGTATGTAGTATTTACTTGAATTGAGAATTGCGTGCAGGAATTATGGTTTAGCACATCAAGAATCAATCGTAGAATGTTATAACTATATATAGCAACTAATTTCCGATATTGCTACATGAAGAAACGGCTTCTATTTATATCACAGTGAAAAGTCTAATTTGAGAGGCTCTTTCAAAACACATTCTTGATCGTTCATTTATTTATTAAGAAAATAAGTTTTTTGCGCATTTTCGGGCAAAACACTGTCCATCTACGCAGTGTGATACCGTCTAAGGCATCCCAGTCTACGGAAGCGTCCACTGTCCTTTCCGTCGACAGAAGAGATATGGCAGGTAGCCGCGTGCGTCAGCGAGGATAACCAATCTCAGAAACAGCAGCGGTTGCCAGTGCGTGTATCAGTCTGCAGGCATCGTCTTGGTGCTGCTCGTGAACGTTAATGTACATAGATGTGTGAGGCCGCAATTGGGTGTTTACAGCCAAAGAAGGTATTTGTTAGCAGAAAAATATTAATCACTTAGTTCAGTCGGCCAAATCTGGACGGACATATTTGCCGGGATAGCTTAAATTGTTCGAGCTCATGAAATACGTTTAGGAAAACGGTATCGTGTACTTATTTATGCAGTGATTGAATAAAACAGACTCGACACAGAAAGAGAATTTATGATGTCATTTATAAGTTTTGACGTCAGACAAATTGCCTGTACGAAGATCGCCTTAGGCGCATAGCCTGAATAATTCTGTGTGGGAAAGTAAGTTGACGTCAAGACACTAGAGGCGCCAAATATTATACAATGGGATGTTTTGTATTTGTACTGCTAGTAGAGTCGAGCTATTCGGCGTAAATTTGTCATTCTGAATATGCCTACGGCGCGTACTAGTACTGCAAATCTGATAGTCTTCAGTGCATTATTGGATACATAGTTACAGATTTATTGTTTCGTTACGTAGCAGTAGCATTATAACCTACGGCTACGTTTCCCATGCATTCCTTTCGAACTGTTTAAATATGTGCAAAGATAAATGACATTCACCCTGAAGCTTCCATCACGAAGATTTCCCTTTCGCATTTTACTGGTATCTGTTTTAGCTTCTAATAGCATAATTTCGCTACTGGCCAGCCTACGTCAACGACTGCTTTCGTTTTCGTTTAACGTAACACACGATGACATCGCATAAAAGAAGCGAGTTAAATTGAAAAATAGTTGATAACACGCGACAGGTTGGACGAAGGTCACGAAATTGTGGACAGCAGGGCCATCTGCCAGAAGAACCCGCTACAGGACTGAATACGGCCATCACAGAAAAAGGGCTATCGAAATAACTCAAGGAAAATAGAGGAAGACTAAATCGACGGCCTCAACTTTTTCTAAGTTGAGGCCGTCGATTTAGAGACTATCAAAAATTAGATTGCAGGAATGCCCACGTTGGTCGATACCGCCGCTGTTATTGATACCATTGTGACGCTTCATATTGCCGATTCCTGAGCTTATGAATAGGAAACATCTTGAGGGAGATATGGCACAACAGCAGCACCGATTGATCCATGCTGCAACATGATGTTGTCATACGACAAGGACAGGAAGAGTCTTTCAGTGCATATTTGGGTTTAGAAAGCACGAAGCGTGATTGCGTTCGCGTTATCGTATTCCTCGATGTCGGCCTTAGGGGAAAGATACTTGAATTTCCCTTTTAATGGTCTCTCTACAGGAGGATCTTCTACCCCTGCGACTGACCTCAATTATTACTGGTATGAGAATGTTGCGTCTTTTGTCCGCCCTTGAAACAATACTTCGTTCATCGTTTAGCCTCTCGATGGATCAAAAAAAATAGAGAATGCACTGGGAACTACCTCGAAAGGTTTCTTGCCTTATAAACATATACGTACGTATGTATTGTACATATAGTGCATGCTCACATGTATGTAGTCTATCATGCTGTTCTAAAGGATACAGCTAGTGCCTGTAAGAATCGACTACGATGATAGATCATAGTAATACAAGAGCTGCAGAAATCCTTCGAACTGCACTCCTAGTATTGACTAAAAAGTGCCTTCTGCCCATAAGATTTCGATTGAAGCTTGTAGCTGGCGCCCGACTCTGAAATTTCGCGATAACTAAGTTGGGACTGTAGACAGCCATTGGTCTATAAAACTGCCTACGAGTTTAAATGGCACGAACTTGATCTGTAAAAGGTATGTGATGGAATAAGGGAATTATTAACTCGTCGACTTCGCTTGGTAGGGGACGTTTAGGAGTTGCTGACGGTCTTGCGCGTTTTCTATTATTACCACACTCGAAGTTTTGGCAAAGTCAAGTGATTTCGCCTGTTTTTCTATTAGTGCATCATAAGGCCTCTCCCTTGCTCTCTCCCTTAAATCCTCGGCCAAAGCGATGATAGGAAGGAGAAGCTCGTTTGGGACACAAATGGACAACCGTTTGCGACAGCTAACTGGGGTTGCCTTTCTTTACTGGGCTAACTTGTAGGCGGAGGTATAAGGGATAAACTCACTCACCCTCGTCTTGCTCCTGATTATTGCCCCGCCACGCAACCCTGTTCCAGGCTAAGAATCATGTAGTTTACAATGAATGAAAGCAAGTCTGGAGCCATACGAAATGCGAAGAGCGGTGCTAACATGGTTGGTAAGAAATAAGTTTCACAATGGTCCAAACGAATCAAACAAAAAAGAAAAATAGCAAAATCTCAAAAAAATAAGAAAAGCAAAGCTACGATGAACCAGCTAGCTATGCTGTTTCAAACATAGAAGCTGGGCAACCATTTTACGTTCCATCGCGTTTTTTTTTTTTTTTTTTTCACTACGCTCAGTTTGGTTTGGAATTTCACTTAGCTGTAAGATTAATTCAAGTCGTTTCTGGACGGTCCATTGCGGGCTCAATTACGCTTTGATCACCACGACTACACTCTAAAGGTCTTCCCTTATCTAGCAATATCACATCATTCCTGGTGTTCAGGAAAAGGGATATATGCGCAGGGACTCACACCGTATCTTCCTTAGGTAACCCTTTACTTAAAGACTGCATTTTATCCGTTTGGCTGCTTCTGCAAAACTTTTCAGGTTGAATTTAGTGTTTTCACAGTACAGTTTCCTCTTCGGTCACTGCTGTAAAGGGGTTAGCTTTGCTAAGGGTACTATATATCTATATCGGACAACCATTTTATCTGTAGTTGCTGCTCATTAAGACGAGTGGACCTGATCTAACTTTCAGCGAGCAGCTTAGTAAAACGCTGATAGCTTACACAATATGCGCGAAGATGTCCGCCGCTCGATCGAAATAACAAACCCAATAAGGTATCGCTAGGGGACAAAATCATTTGGCCTGCAGCTGGTTGCTGCTTTGCTTTAGGAAAATCCAGAGGGGCTGATGGTACCGCAGCTGCCAGGAGGCGTCTGAGCCATACGTTCAGCAATAGACTTCTTCCCATGCACTCCGTGAAGCGTTTCCAGCTAAACATGGCTACAAAGCAAAGGTATGGCATGAAAGGGAATGGAACGGAGTGTTTTGGTAGCCGGAAAACATGAGCAATTCGTTGGTTTGCCGATACGAAGAATGTCGCCGAGTTGGCTGGCAAACCATTGGACGTTCGGTCGGGTCCACGGGCAACTCGAAGGCCGAAAACAAACGTGGCCCTCTTGGCACCTTCGATCAACAGCCCATAGACACATCAGCAGCTTCGTTTGCTGTTGGCTCTTGTTGCCGCCACTCGACGGGCGAGAGAAGTAGTGATCCAACGAAAACTGTGAACGAACAGAAAGCAACGGAGAATGAAACAACGAAAAGCGGCTGCTTTTTTTGCCCATTTTCTTGTCTCTCATCTACGACGGGCGTTGCAATTGTAACAGTGGTGAACAAGCGGCCGATGGACGGACAGGCCGGCGGACCCTAGTCGGCAGGTCGGCTTCTTTCCCTTAGCCCGTTGCTAACACAAAACTGTTTTTTCTTTTACTAGGGACCTCCTACCCTGCTTCTGGGCCAGCGACTACTGTTTACTGCCGCTGCAGCTGTACCAAACAGCGATCGGTGGCTTAAGAAGGTCATCGTTGATGCGCTCCACAGCCAACAGGGCGGCGCGTAGGTAGCTGTGCACAGGGAAGCTTTACTGGGTTGGTCTTACAACTTTCTTAGCTCAACTGCTGGAAGTCCGTCCTGTAAGGAACGAGTTTCGACAAGCCACTATTTTTTGGCTTTCATCCTCTTTTCCCTGAAGACCATGTAGTAATACACGCTGACTGGACTGTCAAGAACTGGAATGCAAGCGGGCTGCACCTCTGGATCCGTTAGAGGAAAGAATGTCTTTAAATACATGTAAGCAACGACATGACGATGTTAGGAATTACGAACATCGCATCGGCATTTCATTCGACTCCTTCCGGCACCACGGCTCCACCAAAGTTCCAAGTATTTTACCTAGGTAGTTGCTGCTTCAAAGTTCGTCGCGTCGGCTCTGATCTACAGCAGCTAACATCTTCCGTCTGTCTGCTCTCTGCACGCGCCATTGTTTTTAACAGTATTAGAGACTACATACGAATCGATAAATTTGTTTTCACTACCATTGCTTCTGACTGATGCCTGCCTGTTACTGAAACATCAAGCCTCTAAAGTCAGTTGTGATTTTTCTCTCTGTTTTAATTTTTTTTCGCTTTGTCTTACTCGCATGTGACTCCGTTAGATTATGGTAACTTCTACGGACAAAGATAGGCAAAAGAGTAAATCATAATGGAAACGAGACAACACCCGACAGGCTAAATAAGCAGTTTTATCTAGAACAACTGGTATGAAACATTGTACCACGCACACAGTCATCACTGGTTCTAAGATCGCTGTTA